CAACAACAACAAAAAACAACTTTAAATTACATCAATAAGTTCATGAAAGGACATTATTTTTAAGAACATGAAGAACCTGAAAATTTATAAATGGACAGAGTTTAACGAGAATGGAAATTGTCAAAGGAAATTTGTTGAGAACATCAAAACTTTTAGTTAATAAAGTTATACTAGGAGGTTTATAGCTTGCAAATAGTGGTCTAGAAGAAAAACAACCCAGCACTATGGAGATAATTATTACCACTAGTGGTGGTGGTGGTAGTAGTAGATGTAATGGTAAAGGAATAAGATAACATATTTCACATGATTCATAATGACATCATAAAAATTCGAAGTTTGACATGAAACGTTATCAAAAGTGTATTTAAATCAGAAAAAATACTTTTCAGTTAACATTGCTACCGAGTTTGTTCTTGTGTAATAAATTGTACTGACTGAAGTTACGTCAAATTTACTAAAACTTATAAAAGATTTCATAATGATTCTTGTTTGACAGAAAATTTAGATTTATCTAATATATACGAAATTTTAATAATTTTAAGAAGTGTACCATTTCTCCTGTGCGTGCAGAAACTAGATGACAAACTAAACCATTTTCTTGAATAAATCTGTTCTGCTTGTCTGGCCTCACCTGTCGTTGGTGTTCCAAGTCACCTGGAATGGAAATATCATTTAATATTAAGTTACTGTTCTTGAGTTTTTGTAATGCTGCAATTGCATACTTACATTTATTTCCAACTACAATAATTGCGGGTTTACGCTGCTGAGTTGTAGTGAAATGTCGAACAGCATTCAACCAATGTTCCAACTTCTCAAAACTTGTAATATTAGTTATGTCAAAAACTAAAAACACAATCTGGAAGAAAAATACAATATCCAAAAATCTTTCATCTAGGAAACTCATTCTTGACACTTACTGAAGAATATAATAAAAACACCTACATTAGCTCCAAATACATATTTATCTAACATGTTTCCAGATAATGCATGGCCTGCAACATCCCAGATCTGGAGAGTAACATTTCTACCTCCAGAGAGCATTGTCTTCTTCAGAAAGAAATCTACACCAGATGTAGGATAATACTGACGTACAAATTCATCATGACAGTAACGGGATGCAATGCTAGTCTGTGCAAAAAAAAGTCAAGAACACTGCATACATATATATTTTTAAAAAAGCAATGTGAAGGGATACTCATTTAAATTGAATCAACACTAAAAATGCAAAAGAATTTTGCAAATGCATGTAAGGTCTCCAATGAGTTTTAAGAATTTGCAGTGATGTTTTCAAAACATCGAAGCAAACTTTGCAAATAATTATTCTTGTCACTTCATTTTTTTATTTACCTTTCCACAGGCACATTCGCCCAGAATTACGATTTTCAACTGAGTTTCTGTCGTTTCGTTTTCTGAATCTGACATTACAAATGCCACATAAATTCGAAAGAAACAAGCAATGAAACTTCTCCACTATCAAACCACTGCATTAATTTCTCTGCTATTTCAGTCAATCTTTCTTCAGCTTCCGTATCAATCCCAAAGCCATCAACTATGCGTCAATGTCCCTGCTCGCCCCCCAGCGGCCCATAGCTGTCACCCGGAGAATCCCGACCAACCCCGACCTACACTCTATGCCCCGACCCTTCTGATACTTACCCAACCACCTCGGCGCACCCTCACAGCTTGTTTTCAAAGCTTTACGCCAGAATTAGTTCTTGAAGTTCACAGTAGATGTCGTTTACAATTTAAACTGTCAAAGCCAAAGTATGGCGCCGCCCAGTAATGTGTAAAGTTTGGTTAAGGTGCCTTATGTACAAATGAATTTTGTGTTCCTTTTAAACCTTTTGCTAAAAAAAAATCATTAAAGCTTTTCATTACGGTGTGATCTCTGTAAGTGTGAAAAACGTGACAAGTAAACAATGTTTGAAGTCGAAGAACGTAGGTTACTAGTATCAGTTTTTTTATAAGATTTACTTATTCAACTTTAAAAAAAATTCTTTTGTAATGCAATGCAATGACTTTTTTCAGAAATGACTAATATTACATATGTTGATATTTCCCCTAATGAAGTGAACAATCACCCATTCTGTCCTCATGGTAAGTGACTCGGTAAATCATTAGGCATACAGAAAACTAAAGTAAGTTTGGAAAAAAAATGTTTTGACTGTTCAGAGAATTGACTGCCATAGATAGGAATCAAACTCAGATCCTCTGGTATGAGGCCAGTTGCTTCAGCTACTTTAGCTACCAGACAGCCTTAAGAAGATAAGAACCCTTACTTTATAGTTCACTACCATAGCATATTTGGATTTACTATAGTATATTTCAATAACCGAAAATATATTTGTTATTTCTTATTACTACTAGAATTTGGTCCTAGTTAACAGACCCATAGCAATAACATTAAATGACAATCATTCAATTTTTGTTGATTATGATTTGATCAGTTATTGACAGTACATTATAATCGTATTAGAACATCAATTATAGCGTAGACCATGTCCATAGGTATATAATAGTAGCAATTGATAAGTGGTGCAGGAATACAATTATTTAAGACCTCAGTAAATAAATGACTGATAAAGGAAAGTTGGACAATAGTCCCCAGAAAATGAAGATTGCTAAGTCTTATTGAAGCTTGAAAAATAAGACTGTACAGTAAACATTTTTCTTATTCTTGAATATGCATTCCGCTAATATTAAGAAATTTGTATTATCTATTAATTGCTCTGACAACATTTTTTAAGGTCCTACTTTGCTGTTCAGTCGCCATACTAAAAAAGGTGATCGTAAATATTATGCATGTTCTGCCTGCCGAAACAGAAAATTATGCAATTTTTTCCATTGGGCTGATGAAAAATATTCCAGTGCAAGAAAACAGATTTGGGATTGTGAAAGGAAAAAATTTATTGGAGACAAAAGTCATCAAGAACTATATGATTCTTTACACACATTAAAATCCTTAATTTCAAAAAATCAAGTGATTTACTGTCATACCTGCAATAAATTTCTCAAGAATTGTAATGGAGGAGAACATGCAGATCATAATGTTAATGTAAATATTTCTCTGCATCAAATTATGCATCCTACTGAGGTAAGCTTTTAAAAAACATTACATTGTTAGTATTTAGGACTTGAGTTTTCAGCCATTTTTTTCTCTCTCTTTTTTTATTATTATTATTATTTTATTATGACTAATTTTTATACAGATGCTGAAACCTCTCGAGTGTGACAAGAGAGAAGCTCAGTATCTTTTTTCCAGAGCTTCTGTAAAAGCTTTAATTAATATAGCTCTTCACAACAATATTAATTCAGTTATCTGTATTGGTGCTCCCAGAATTCATGAATACATTAAAACTACACAAGTGGACATAAGAAGTATATTATTAGATTTGGATAAGAGATATGTGAGTTGTATTGTAATTTGCATTGTAACCATCTATAAGATAATTTGCCCAGATAATTTATTTCTTCTTTTTTTTTTCTCTTTCCAGCATATGTTTTATGGACCAGAAGATTTCTGTTGGTTTAATTCATTCAACTTTCATTTCTTTTTGGGTCATTCATCAGAACAGTCTTTTATGAACTTTCTCCGTAATGATAAAAGGCATTTGTTGATTCTTGATCCTCCATTTGGAGGAAGACTGGAGCCACTAGCTCACACATTGAAAAACATACAAGCTCTTCATAAAAAATTACATCCTTGCTCAAAAAATGACTTGTCTGGTCAGTGTTCTGTATGTACATTTTTTATAAGTAATAATTTTATAATTTATTTTAATTATTTGTACTTGTTTCTCACATTTTCAGTTATATTAATATATCCATACTTCTTGGAACAACATGTTGTGAGATGTTTACCAACATTTAATATGATTGATTACAAGATTACATATGATAACCATCCATTGTTTTCACAAGGTATTGTTTTAAACCACATGTCATGTTTTAGTCCTCAATACCTACTTTGAGTAGAGGCTTTGCTTTCTTTCTGTAGGCGCAAAAGCAAGAAAACTTGGATCACCTGTTAGAATTTTCACCAATATATGTCCTGAGAAAGTTATCCTACCATTTGATGAAGGTTACAAGTTCTGTGAGATTTGTGCCTATTGGGTTAGTCCAGAAAATAAGCACTGTGACTTTTGCAACAAATGTACATCAAAGGTACTGTGTATATCCAAACGTACATTGTGCATAATTAATAAATATTGACATTCTAAATAAAACCTCTCTTATTTCAGAATGGATCTACTTATGTACATTGTAAAAAGTGTCAAAAATGTGTCAAGCCCACATGGAAACATTGTGGGAAATGCAAACGCTGTTGCCTTGAACCTCACACATGTGCCTCAATTGCTCCATCACATCATTGCTATCACTGTGGTGAAAAAGGTCATAAAAAAGAAGACTGTAAACTTATTTCACAAGATGACGTAAGTATGAAGGTAATACTTCATTTCCCCCCCAGTAGTTTTACACTTTGTTTTTGTTTTTTCTATAATTTTTTTTGGCTCAAAATATATGTAATATTTTAACAAAATTGAATTTAAAGTTCCTTTGTACTTTATTGAATGTTTTTAGTAACATTTTTTTCAAGTTGTTTTGCTCATTTCCAGAAGGATATTCTTGTGGTGAATATTTCCAATAACAGCTATAAACGGAAAGGGGGCAAATGTGAAGCAGATAACAAGAAAAGAAAAGTTGGTAAAAGGCAATTGAAGTGATCATAAATTCATTTCAACAGTCATAACAACCAGTCAAGTGACAGTCATAACAAAAAGTTACTTGGTCATCCGTGCGGTACTTATTAAGATCAGTTCAGTTTAATAGTGAACATGAGTTCAACTTGTCTTCAAGTACATGTGAATTATTCAAATGAATGTCAATTGATTTTGTGGTTTATTTTTTATGCAGAAGACTAATTACTATTAACCCTTTGCTGCCTGTACGGTCTTAAAGGATACTTGCGTGGAGTACAAATGTGCTCCAAGCCTTTTGTACAAAATTATATATTATTGTGTTGAATTTAGTTAAATAAAATAAATAAATAAATGTCTTTATTGATGGCGAGGCTCAGGCCATTTAGCCTACTCTTTCGTCTGACCATGAATTTTAATTAATTATAAGTAATAATTCTAAATTATTAAATTGTTATAATTAATGGATGATTTAAATTGAAATAATATATCGAAAACTTATTTATGAAATGCTTATTTCATATAGTAGTAAGGATTAACTTATTAAAATACTGAAGAAAATTTCTTCTATTACTCGCGCAACTTTTCTTGAACGATGGATTGAGGAAATGCGGGTAGAGTGGGGGTATTAGTTACGAAATCGGCCACTAGATTTTATGAAAAAATGCCAATCTCTGGAGAATCAGCCACGCCTTCGTAATGTTCTCAATAATTAGCGTTCTAACTTTATCAGGAGTTCGAGGTATTTCCTGTGATAGATCCGTACCTGCTTCGGACATTTCTTTAGATTTTTGGAGAAAATAACCGATAGAAGTTCTGTCTTCAAAAGAAAATTGTTTATATTTCGAGCCAGTGAAGATGTGTTAGGAATGTTGTCATCAGTGCTCGCTGCGAGCTTTTGCCTTCATCTGTTTATTGTGTCAGAGAGGGGGAAGCAAGGTCATCGTTCAAGAAAAGTTGCGCGTTGTTGCTTTGGCAACAGTACAAGATATTATTCCATAATAATAATAATATTGTCCATAAGAGCCCATTGTGCCTTTACGACGTGAAAATGAGTGTAGTTCGAAAATGTTTCATTTTGTACACAACACATTGTGCTGGAATACGTTGTAATGAACTTTAGTTTCGTGTGACTTATTTATTCATATATAATCGACAACTACAAAAAATGTTGTAGAGTGTTACGTCTTTGTACATTAAAAAGGCACAGCCGGGACAAGCCAACCATATCTCCAACAAGCTCTAATACAGAACACCCACACAGTGGGTGTCTTTTTATTAGTTTGTGAGCTCTAAGCTCCCGTCCAGGTCTGTAAGTAAGGTGGGAGGATATGACAAGGAAGAGGAAAGAAAGATCGCGCGGGGACAGTTTGTTAGGGTACTGCTCTGTCATTCACCTACGTTAATTGGGGAAACTACGGAAAACTACCGATCAAAGCAACCATTCTCCTCGACAGCGACTGAATTCGACCTAACTGAAAAGCTAGAGTCGAAAATCCTGCCATCGGGGGAACTCAAACCTAGAACCTCCCGGACAGAGGCACTGAAGTGACATCAGTTGATGCCCTGAGCCACTTCTCCCGATGATTTTAAGTGTGTGAAGGATTTTTCATTATTACAATATGTACCAGGATAGTGAAATTTTCGAAATAAAATAATTTTACTTGTATACAATATATTTTGTAATTTGTATAAAATGTGTCCAAATAATAGTGCTTGTTGCGAAGTGCTGGAGCGCGTTCACCATATTTTTGGAACCAAGTTCTTTTTTTGTTTCGTATGAATTCTATTGCTGTCAATTGTCTCAATGCATAACTAATACAAAACTCAAAAGCGCAGTGGAAATCAAAATTAGAATCACGTATGCGGAAGTCAAAAAAATACTCGCGCGCAGATGTATATGCCTGACTCGGACACAACGCATAAACTATGACATTCTTTTATTAAACTTAGTTTAAATTAATTTACGCGAATTTCTTACATTTTATTGTGAATTAGTATTCTGAATTTTGGAAATTACATTGTCATTCGAAAAAGCCGTAATCTCTAAGTTTGTTCGGGCACCATCCACCACTGGTTGAATGAATAAAAGTTGGATGAATAAAAGTTAAATAAAATAAGATCAAAATAAAAAAGCGCAAGATTAGCAACATTTGAAAAATTAGATAAGCAGCACTGTAATACCATGGATGAATCCACTGTAAATCGGTGTTAATCTATGATATTATCCGCGCACGTTTTCGTGAGCCCTCGCTTCGCTAGATTCGAGAGGAGTGGGAAGTTTGATTATTTTGACCAAAGGAATTTTACAACGAATTTGTAGTTCACTTTTCGATGCAAAATAGTTTCTAATAAACGGGAGCGAACATTTCTCGTTTTTATCCGCACGTTTTCTTGAGCCCCGGAGTGAACATTTCTCGTAATACCATCCTTTGTCTACAACGCTCGTTGCTACCATTTATTCTTAATTCAACTAATGTTGGGAAAGTGGATATAATAGTACTCTCAGGGCAGCACCATAGAGGAGAGATACAAGAGAGGAGAGATATAGAGTATATCTCTACTCTATGGGCAGCACTGCTCGACACGTTTGCGATTATGCGACATCTAGCAGCACAACCGAGAAAGATGCGTAATGGTCCATCGTGAAGCAGGGCTCTCATGCGCCAAGAAATAAAAAGCCAAATATAGTACACTCACACTGACTCACACTGTGTATAAAAAACATACTGTGGTGCACGGTGGTGTAGTCAGAGTATTGGTGTAGGTATTGGTATTAGTGTAGTCTAAGTGTAGTGTACACGATACATGTTCTATTACACCGTTGTGTATTAGCAGACATTAGTAATTTGGTTTTGCTGTATTTTCGGTACATTTGTAAAGTCATTATTTTTGGTGATTCTCTCTGATGTAATGAAATTGTGATAAATGATGTAGGTAAAGGAACTTTCCACTTGTTTTTTAAAAGGACGGTTTCCGGACATGGGATTTGACGACTTGGAAAATATCAATCCAAAATTATACCGTAAATGCAATGATCGTGAAGTGACCACAGAAGAGGAAAGTGATGACATATATGATGAATTCGACGCCCGAGAGATATTTGGTATCCTTTTTATTTTGGGGGGATGAGGTTTTGGAGTCGTATTAATTTCTCCCTTATCAATATCTATTTAGCGAGCATAGTATTTGTCCAAGAGACAACGAGAATATTATTAAATTTATCGCAAAGTGTGAGACAATTTTTAACATTAAAATTAAATTGGAAAGTTGCTATTACAGTTGAATTACGATTATGTTCAATTGATGGGGATGGTACGACTATTAGGAAGTTCTGACTAATGTCAAATTGTTCCTTAAATTGAGGCAGATTTAATTAGGGGGATCAATGACCCGGAACATCCTTTGACTTTAGAAGAGTTGAATGTTGTAAAGCAAAATGATGTCTGCGTGAGTGATGTCAAATTACATTATTTTTTAAATTATTATTGCTGGAGAGAATATGTATTTATTTCGTCATTTTCAGGTGGATAATAAAAATAATGAAATTAAGGTGTTGTTTACCCCAACAATTCCCCACTGCAGCATGGCAACACTAATAGGCCTGTCAATTCGAGTGCAGTTATTACGATCTTTACCTCCAAGGTTCAAAATTTGTGTACAGATTTACCCTGGAACTCACGCATCTGAAGAAGCAATTAATAAGCAGCTTGCTGACAAGGAACGTGTTGCAGCAGCTTTGGAAAATAATGATCTTATTGCATGTATTAATGATTGTATTGTTGTAGATTAATGTTGATGTGTTTTATGAATGTATAATCAATATATTGAAGTATATTTGTTTATAAAAAATTAATAAAGGCTCTTTTAAGGAATAAAAAAGAAATTGCAATAGTGTTTTCAAATGAGTTGCATGCTATTTACAAATAAGTTTCCTTGACTGCCGTAATGAAGATTTTGTATCACATCAAGTTTTGGATCTGTCCAGTTGGTCATTTTGTTGAGTACCTATGTAACTTCTTGGTATACAATATATCTTCAGAAAGTATGCAGTACCATACATAAATTTCTCAATAACTTCACTTCGGTGACAAGGGAGAGGTTAAATTATGCTTGGTGCTGAATGTCAGCTCACAAACAAGTTCAATGGAAAAAGCAGTTTCAAAAACTTACAAAAATATGTATGCTTTATTGTCACAAGATTATATGAAGTAGAATGTTAGAAGCAAACATGGAAAATTTTCTCTGAATACTTGATAAATGGGTACCTGTAATTTGACAGAAACTGGTAATAAAATATAATTTAGAATTTTCTATTAGACTAAAATGTTTCTCAAAAGGGCTACATTACAAAACACTTTTGAAATTTGTTCACAAAACAGTTCAATCAATTCTTTATTTCAAATCATGTGTATCTTTAGTATGGTTACAATTTATTGGAAACTGTTTTAAAACGAAGTGAAATCTTAATCATCAATGGAGATATAAGAATGGAGAGTTTCTTGAATTGTGAAAACTACAAATCACATTCCCCAATTTCAAGGAGCTCTTAGACTTCAGAGAAATGTGTGAATCCCTCCCCCAATTATTTCTTGATGTGTTTTCACTTATACTACTTGTGACAAATACAAAAATGACCACAGATACCAATTATCAATGCACGCAAACATCAAAAGAAAAGTATTCCAGCCATGTGAGGTGTCTTAGTTCTAGGGTTTTGTTAGATGCCCAAAAAGTTAGGGGGGAAAACATAAACATCTATTTTCCTAATTTCCATTGCAAGCAAACTATAAAATCTCCGTCCATAGGAGAACAGTCTACAGCTTCATTAGATAACTAGGAACTCTGGGGAAAATTCTAAAACAATGAAACAATTTCTATTTGGATTGAAAAATTTAAATATTTGATTCTGTTATTCCTCTTATTCTCATACAGTGCCTACAGAATTGATTTTCATTCTTAGTATGTCACAGTTCACATAATGAACTTTGAAGCACTGCCAACATGTGACAGTAAGGCTTGAAGATAGGCAACCCACCATAAAATTATTTGCTGTTCATGAGTTGAGTCATGGAACAGCAAAATTTTATAGTATTCTTGGTGTGTAAAGAACTGCCATAACTGTTCTTGCTATATTTTGTTATTCATGAAGACAATATATTTTTCTTGTGGTTTTACAGAATAATAATATTCTATCGCTGATAAACTTACTAAACATATAAAGCAAAGTTGGTTTAGTTAAGTTACAATAAGAATTGCAACTGGATAAATAACATTAAAAAAAGTAATTAAATTCAATTACATTAACTTTCAGTAACAGTTCAAATAGTTTACTTGACAAGTTATGTGATAAATAAAATACGCCAAAAAATGCTTACAATAGACATTAAAATTACTTACATTATTTTAAACTACACAAACGTCTCATACAAATTAAAGGGCATTAACAATTCATTATGTTAATAAACCAGCAGATTATGATACAGTGACAAATTTCAGTGAGTACTTCCATTATCTTACAGTAGTAGTGTAATTAACTTACAATAACGTGAATAAATTAAATGTTCATAATAATGTAAGTGCTTACAATATCATGAAATATAATTACGTCATTTACTATATTAATAATAGTACACTGTCTTATTAACTGAATGAGTGGTATATGGAAGATTATATAAAATGCATTGTTAATCAGAAAATTCAATTAAACAAAATCTAATGGCTTTCCAAACATTTGCCAACTTTACTAAAGGTCTGACTGGTCTACCAAAAATAATGAGTTTTAAAAATTTAAATGCTTTTACTGAGCAACAGATCGTAAACTGTTTTGCTAATGATAATGAGTCTGAAAATCAGTTCATTGGAAATAAGTCTTTTGACAAACCTGGGTAGTATGGAATGGACATTTCACAACTTGATGTTTATTCTGCAATTTTAAAGTTAAATTTGAAGAAATGTGTTGGACCTAATTTAATTCTACGGATTTTCTTGAAAGTAATTTCTTAGATTACCCCTATTTTACGTGGTTTATTTTGCAAATCCCTACAAGAAGAATCATTACCTCATATCAGGAAGTCTAGTTTTATTACCCCTATCAAATCTGGTAGCCATTCGGATGTTTGTAATTACGGATCAGTCTCAATCCTACATACAATACCCAAGGTTTTTGAATCTGTGATAATTGAAAAACTTCATAATCTTGTATCACATATATTGTTAGACGAACAATATGGATTTAGGCGATAGTGAGCTATCAATACAAATCTTTTTTTCTCTTTTCAACATGTGGTTCTTGAAAACGTAAATGATAATGGGGAAACTGACTTTTCAAAGGCTTTTGATACTGTTTATCACCATTTGTTGTGAGCCAAACTTCAGGCCCTTTATTATTCTACCTTTTCATCAATATTTCAAATCACCTATTATGTGCAAATTATAATATATGCAGACAATCTTAAATTATTATGCATATTAAAACAATATTCGATTGTACACAACTACAGTAAAATATGTATTTGATTGCACAATGGTGCAAATATGAATTGTTTAGCCTTAAATATTGATAAAAGTAATGTGTCTCCCAATCCCCAGTGTGCTTTATGACCATGAGACAGTAATACAGTTCAAAGATTTAGGTGTCATTTGATTGTAAATTTAAATTTCACATGAGTATGTAGTAGGGAAAGACTCCTGTAATTGGGTTTCATTTTGAGAATGAGTATGGAATTCCATTTCAATATAATTGAAATCCTTAGTCGTTCTCAAAATGAAACCCAGATTACAGGAGTTTTTCCCTACTCCGTACTCCACGTAAAGTTAAAATTTCAATATATATTGTATAAAATCTATCATGTATGACTCATTAATCGGGGCACCTTACTATGACATAAAATATTGCATAAATATCTGCAACATACGTTATGGAGATTATCCTTGGAATCCTCGTGAGACTATTTGAACATAGCCATTCTTATGAATCCAAGTTCGTAATCATCATATATGGAATTACATGATATATTGTTTTTGTTTCAACTAGTCGACAACATTGTAGATTGTCCATTTTTACTCTCTAACATATATTGGTTAATCCCCACTAGAACTCAAGGCATAATCATTCTATACATGTTACACCTAATAGTACAATGAACACGATTTAATGCTCCTTTTGGAGAATATACCGGAACGTTAATTCTATAACTGTATGTATTGTAGCACATAATACTGACTTTGATCTTTACCTCTTTTGTAAATGTAATCAAAGACAAATTGTTAACCGATTTTGTTTAATTATTGACAGTTATTCTATGTAATTTTGGGAGATTCCTATAAATACATTAAAGATTGCAAGAAGTACATTTGTTTCCAGGTATCCAGAAGACTATCGCAAGAGGAATATATTGGGGTTTATTTCATTACAAAGTGTGTCGACATGTATGTTAGGTTTTTATCTATGAACATTCCCAGAAACTTATGGCTAAGGCCTGGAAGATTATGAAAAATCATATTTTTTATTATTAGGTTTATATTATTCTAATTATCAAATGTCCACAAAATACAATCTGATGACCAGAAATTTAGTGATTAAGTATTTATGCACAAATACTGCATATTAGTGCAATTTGTGTTAATGCATATTTCCATGATATTTAAGTCAATATTTTATTGTTTTTTGTTTTTAATGTGTCGTATTTCCCTTGGAATTTCAATTAATATGCATATTTGTCTCCTCAAACAGAAAAGTGTTCTTCACAAATGTGAATGGGAATGCTATTCATGAGAAATTGTGGGTATATCTTTCATTCGTTGCAGCACTTCTTTTAAATATCATTGCACCGGTGTGGTTTTGTTCAGCAGTTTTTTTGCTGCTGCAGGCTACTAATGGGCCCTAAAGATATTCTGGCATGTTTGCATACAAATCAAATCCCTAGTAATGCATTACACGATTCACTGCATTCAAGTAAAACATTACTTTGATTTCATGTCATCATTCATGAGATATAATATTCATTAAAAAAAAAAAAAAAAGATTCACTTTATAATTATTTTAACCTAAAATACAAATGTAACTGAATCTGAAAGATATTTGAGAATAAAATGATCACATTAGTACAAGTATAAGCACAGAAATATCTTAATTTGGGCCACAGAACTACAATCCAATTTTAATTGAATGATTTTTAATTGACTAGGTTACCAACCCTTCAAGTTACTAATATTATAAGTAATAAAATGAATTTCAACAAATCATCCAGTATATTGAAATGTTTAAAAAAAATGTAAATTTTGAAGTTGAATGTGTTTTCTAATTTTTTTTCATGAATACACTTTATTTTAAAAATTAATTACTATCACTTCTGAAACTATATTCTCAAATTGTGTTGTATTTAGGGTTACCACCTTCAAGTCAAAACACAGGACACTTCATTGTCAGAATATTGTATTAAAACAAAAAATTTAAGGTCTCTCATCAACATCTGGGTCATTAGCTACCACTATTGCATTTAATGATATGGTAACTGTGAAGATGACATGATAGGGGGTGAAAAGACGAACACAAATCCAACCATGTCCGAGGTGGAAAACCCTTGATCAAAGATCGCTACAGCACTACTGCCATAATGATCTCACGGCATGTATGTAAACTTATTCAACAAAGAAACTACAATTGAAAAGTTGAAAACAAATTTCCCTTCAAATATTTATGTGAATAATATTGTGTTTGAAGTTCTGTAAAAAGGTAGTTTTCAACATTTTGGTCATTATGATATACATATCTTAAGATCCTCATAGGTAGCTTTTAAAAATATGTACGTACTTGTTTCAGTTTAATTCTTATAGAGAAAAAACACGCTGTTTTTTAAGGCTGGTTCTGCAAATTTTTATCAAAGGGACTCACAACCATGAAAATTATTGAATGTAGCAAAATTATTTCAAGAGATTAATTCAGGTTGTTGGAAGGCATGCCATTCCCATTGCATTGCCAACAAACAATTTAAACAGGTGCAGAGAAACCCATCTTGAGTCTATCCTGTTGTTCCCTATTGAGAAAGTACTAATATTATCTATTTTATGATACTCTAAATCAGCAGGAATGTAGGGGACACAAGGGTGTCCCACTGTAGTCATGTAGGTGTACAGGACAATTATAATAAAGTTTGAATAGGTGTCAACCCTAATTATATCTAGCTTTCCAATAGAATTTTGTATCTGTGTTTAAAAGAAAATTATTTGTTTAGAAAGCAATTTGAGTTTTCCACTCAAATGAAATTCATAATTTTTGCTTTAAATGAAAGTTAGTGGGCCCCAGAGGTGTTCTCGCTTGCTGTTATTGGCAGGTGTTTTATAGTATCAACACTAACTTTTAATAAAATTTGCCTTTTATCTGTTCTTTCCCTCTATTGGTCGGCTCAAGAATTCAACATTTTGGTTGTAGTGTTAGGAAGTTTATGGGAGAACGGTATTGTGAGAAGCAAGTTTTTAAGTTTGATAAGAATGTTTTTATATGCAAGATTAGTAAATCTATATAAATGCAATGTCCAGCAGTCATTTGAAACATTTAACCCTTACAAAAAATTCAGTGTTTTGAGAATGCATAAAGAATCAAGTTTTTGTTGAAGAGTTAAATTATGCTTAATTTATTATTCACGATATCACTATTAGAAGAGAACAGTCATTCACAGTGCTTAAGGATTGACTTCCAAAAAGAAAAAAATAGTATTGATGATACAAATTTTTATCCAGGAATGAAACATATATGTTCGAGTATTAAGTATATCTTAAGTTACTACAACATGTACAGTATTCTTAAATCTCTTATCTGCATAACTTATAATAACTAAGTTCGGTGATGTAACAAAACATTGGATTATAGACAACAGAATTTATTCATCTGCAAGCATTGTATACACTTCACCTGGAAGTACACATTATTTCCAAATACATGAGATGAAAGCAACTAGTATAATACAAATAGAAAATACACAACATTCCAAAATTTTGTCAAGTTTTGTGTATTATCCGCAACCTATAATGTAATATAGAATACTTACTCTAATCTCAAAACATGATTAAATGTAGAGCTTGGTTGAGAAAAAGATAAAATCAATTACGACCATTACCAACGTGTTAAAAGTCAAAATTCCATTTCTCTGTAATGCAAGTTTAATAATTCCATGTACTACATCTTAAAATATACTTAAAAAAAAAAATTAATATAACTTGCAAAGCATGAAACACAATATTTCAAAAGCTAAGGAAGGAAAACAAAAATATTCAAATGGAATCTATTATTTTCATATACATATATAGGCCAGTGTTCCAATAAATTGTATCATCCAAAAACAGATTTATTCACAAATGTTACTAAGTGATCTGTTAAGAACAACCTGAAGCTTATATTACTTTCAACACCATTTTAACTCTGATGCAGATCCACAGCACAATGAATTACTTCAACAGATGGATAGTCCACAACAGTCCATCTCAGTGCTCTTAGGCATTACGTGTAGGATATCCTGGAAACAGAATGCAATACTGTGAGTTTGATTCAAAGTTTTTATTATGTTAAGAAATTAGTTAGATGCTTTGTTGTTTCTTAATTAGAAACATCTTAAATCTCATGGTAATCTATCAAGTACTCGGTAAAAAAAACAGCAACAACAAAAAAGAAAGTCAATGTTTAAGACAGCTTAAGAACTGAATAAAAGCATCGCCTAAAAATTAAAACTAAATAATTTATACTACTTCAGAAAAGTGGGAAGACAACTAAAGAAAAGTTCCAAATTCATCAAGAAGTTTGTCACCAAGACCAATTAAGAAATTGGAAAGATTAATGTTTTTCATTCATTTCTAACAACATATTTAAAATCTCCACCAATAAATATGCATGAAAATAATTGTCTACAAGAAACTACAGTTTACATAACACATTGTATTCATTTTTCTGAATGATTTTTTAATTTGATATTACCTTCGAGCCAAAGTCAATTTTCATGAGAAAATTAGAAATGGAAAATTTATTTTTCCTATTACTGAAAATTAAGATGACCATTATAATTTGATGTTTGTGACCACAAAAATGTGTATTAACAAACTGATTTCCATTTATTTAGATCTTTGCTTGTAAAATAAATAAAGTTTTGGTTTATATACAATCCTAAGATATTGTAATGTTTCTATAGGAAAATATTATGATTGATATAAATAATATTTTACAGGACAGCCTTCACTACAGAAACAGTATGGAGCCAAAAAAACCTTCACAATGTTAATTTAAGCAATAATACTATTAATATACTAGCCAGGCACAAGTGATGGAAACACAGGCCACACTAAAAAAATTTATACACAAGAAATAATGTTAGTCACTTAAATTTTGACCTGATACACTAGACTTTGAAATATTAACCTACACATATAGAAGAAAAAAAGATTTAAACCATTTTATGTAATTTGTATTTACGTATCTATAAGAACTCTACATTATACAATATTTGCTTGTCATGTAATTGTGCAATTTTCAGGAATTTTTTAAAACACGTTTAATAACTGCAGACTTACAGAAACTATTTTATTATTTTCTACAATATGAAAAAGGTCATTCCATTTCTTGTAACAAATAGCTTAAAATAACAAAAGAATTGCAATGCAGAATGATGTTTTGTCCTGTTTAATTTGCAGAACAAGTCAGGAAATTGCAGCAATACTCAAAGGAAATAATTAGGCAATGAACAACTAAAAAAATGTAGCTCTTTGAAGATTAAACAATTTGTCCATTCCAAAGAAGAGGAATAGAAGAAAAACAAGTAAACTCTTCTGAAGAAATGCACAAAAGGTCTGGCATCAGATTTATTTGTTTAGACAATAAAATTATGTTAATTTTTCAGATGGATGTGCAAGATTAGAATTAGGTAATGTTCCCAAAGAACAGTGTTTGAACAGAAATACGTTTAGCATGCTGTGAGTTCTTCCTCCCCACACATTTATTAGTTGTCACAGAACATTGTTTACAGAAGAGTAAAATTATCGTTTTCCAACTGTACCAACATATGTAATTGTATATGATGAACCTGATACAATTGTATACATTGTAGCAAATACACTTTTTCAATAATCTGTTGGTTATTTTATTTCAAGAAAATTAGAATTTTGAAATTCAGCATTTTTAAAATCAGTGTCAATATCTAAAAATGTAAAGGACCTTCATAGTAATGTTTTGATTATTTAGCTTTACTACGGATGAATTACACTTGCTCTGTGCCCACCATTTATAAGGCAAAAAAACTTAAAACCTAATTCTCTCTTCAATGCGAACTTTCTCCAGTATAGATCCTCCACAACTTAAAGAGCATTGAAAGTACGTAGAACCACCACCACCATTACATTCACACCAATCACAACCACAAGAAGATCAACAATTCACCCTAAGTTATTAAATTGAACATATTAATAAAAAAGCCAATCAAACAATACGGTGCAACATTAAAACTTTTTCAAACAATGCAACATCCATTATCAATTCAATGACGAAAATACATTTGCCAATGTTTCTTCCACACAGGTATAATTTTTTATCAGACATCTAATGCTACAACATGGTGACCATCAATCTGACTTTTTGGAAACAAAGTTTGTTTTTTAGTTTTGAAATAATAAATTCTCAAAACGTTCTGTTTCCCACCACACATACATATTTCTTTATTATTAGTTACCTAACCTTACATTATTCGCTCTCTTTTCTCTCTCAAGTTAGTATTCGAGTGTGTAGTATTTTGCACAATTGTAAAGAAATTGAGATTTTGTCTTTCTAGCAAATGCATGTAGCCCCCATTGCATATTTAAACTCAATTTCAAATTTGTAATGAAGTATTTCATTTCAGGAGAAAATCAATCTCAAAACTGACAACAATTTATCTTTCAGAAGACCCTTTAAAGTGCATTTTCCTAAAACATACATCAATATTAGAACATTAGATCGCAAACTACAAGCAATATTTTTCCAAAAATGTACATTCAGCTTTTAACGAGACATACAAAGCACTTAACTTTACTTTCATATCACATTTTAAAAATTTCATCTCAAAAACTTAGCTTTATTTTTTTGCTTCATTGTATTTTTAGTTTCATAAGTATTATGTAAAAGAAACTGGAAATACAAAGTCTGGCTGTACCTTAGGATTACATGCATGTTTATCTCCAAAGAAAATTAGAAGCTTTAGCATAACCCTTAGTTTTATTTTAAAATTGGTTAGTATAATTATATTTTTTATATAATGTACAACACTTTATAAATATATCCACCCTGAATAGTTTAATTTGTTTTATCATGAACTATCTACAAACACTTAACCTTCAAATATTAACTAAACAGTTTAATCCAGAGATCTTTCAATTCATGAGAATGAAAATTAACTATAAAGCTTCTGCCATAGGGTACTTGTATTACTCAATTTTCATTGGTTGAATTGCAAATATATTAGTGTCAAATTCTTTTGACTTTACTGAATACTTTGTTTTCAAATCAAATTCCTACACTTCCAGATTTGTTGGTCACCATGGTTCCACATTATTCATTTGAATATGGTTGCTAATATTTTTTAATATCCACATCAGTTATATAAGGTACATTTTAAAAATCAAATGGCCAAATAGCATTATCACTACATAATCTGAAGAAAGGAAGAATATTACATAAATTCCCTCCTTTCTATTTACATGCATGGAAACTCCATAACTCTTAAAAGGTCAAAACAAGCACATTTTTATAACTGAACAACCGAGTTTAACTACAACTTATTAAGCTTGAAAAATTTCATTGGCATTTCTCACATTTAAAACAATCGACACTGGGCAGACGAAAGCATCTCTAGCAGCTATCCAAGATGGGAATAATGAAAATGTAACAATTAATAGGATTATAAATTTCAGCTAACCACAATTGGTTACACAGTCCAATAAAATTTATAAATTGAAAGTGTTTTTTCATTACTATGAAGAATTTCTATTTCAGATACATGGGAAATTATAAATAAATAATTAAGTCCTTCAGACCTTTAATAAGAAGCCAGGATTTCACTTAAAACTAGGCATAAGATTACAACATTGCAGGGAACAAAACATTTTACACAAAGTTTGTATAACAATAAAAATGACAAACTTTTACCACCTACATAAGACATCGACATATTTCCCCAATTTAAAAACTTTTAGCAATGATCTGTTAATTAAAATTTCAAATCATTTGAATTGTCTGGATTTCTTTTAGATGTCTCCATGACCGAAGAAAAATAATTCATTCAAAATTAAAAAGCTAAAATCTTTTGTTGTATTAAGTTCTGGACTTTCTAATTTTATTCTTATATCAGCAATCACTGGTGCAATTTATCACTCACATCAACACACAACACAATAGTGATACCTAAAAAATTCTGCTTTATATTTAACAAGATTAAAAATCAAAGAAACACTGGTGATAATTTGTGCAAATTTGCAAATTTCAATCCTCAACACATTTCCCAATTCCAATTTACCAACAAGGCAATTACTAAGGAAAAAGGAATTAGTTAATTAGGAAATGTCAGTCGACACAAAACTGGAGATTAATTACGAATGAATTTGAATATTAGGACTGCACTAACTTTCAGTAATGATATACAGAATACCTTACATGGCATCATAATTAGGCATATTAATATTACAATACCATATTACAGTATATAATTTTTTCTTCTATGCAGGCAATAAATATGTTTGTTCTTACCTACATGTACATTGGCAATTTTTCAAATTACACATGCAGTCAAGGACTCCTCAAACATTAGTACAACATTTTTTTTATATGCAAAAGATACCCTTTTGGAACAAATAATGCAATAAATTTGCAATAAAAAAATGGAAAATTACAAAGGATAATGGTAACTATAGAACTAACTATAATTGTGATTACACATTTTAATTTTCCAATTTTATCATCAACAATTTAAGAAGGAAATAGGTAGAGAAAAGGCAATTAAAGAACAAATGTTGAAATATGACATAGTTGAATGTAGATTGTGATCTTGTTGAACATTTTTTAAGTTAAAAAAACAACTGATTACAAGTAGTCAAAAATCTGTTTTATGAATTCTACAACTCTAATGAACTTGAAAACGGATTATTTCCACATATTTCACAAAATCATGTAGCTCCACAGTATTTCACAAGAATAGAAACTTTAAACCGATTAATGGAACTTAATAGGTACTGCAAATTATTTGCCAAATGTAAATAATATACAGACACTAAAAGATCAGCAGAACTATTGTATTTATCTGACAGGACTTTTGTTCCTAAACATTTCAATTGAAAAATGCAAAGTAATCTATATTCCCAGATTAAGCCTAGCCATTTGGGATCTATAGTTTCCCTCAGCCTTTCCATGCCAAATTCAAATGCTGATGTAATAATAAACTGCAAAGCTGATAAATACCATATGTTTCTTTAGTACTTTATTTTTTGAAGATGTATTCTTGGCACCCACCATAGATTTGTCAAACAATTCAGAACAATGTTTTGGAATGAGCCAGTTAACAGAATCTTAAATGAATGGCATTGCAGTAAGCGAAAAAAACATGGACATGAATACACGACTTTGTCAAAATTTTATTATACGATCACAATGCCAAGCCAAAAAAGAAAAAAGAGAGAGAGAAAAAAAAAGAAAGAAGGAAGGAGACGAAAAATCATATCTGGTGACAAAGATGGAATGTTCTCTTCTGGCATTAGATGGATCAATGTATGATTATTATGTCATGTATGTGAATGGGAGTAGGGCCAGAGGGAGGGAGGGGAGGAGGAGGATAAAGTGGTTGAAGATGAACTATAAAAATAAAAATAATATTTTTCATTATCAAGATAACAGTGATAGTTCATGAAAAGGAATTTAAATTCTCATAAACAAGACAATTTGCTCCTTAATTTTGTCTGAATAATAATAATCTAATTTTGTTTAAATTCTCAGAAAGAATCTTCAGATTTAAGGGGTGGTCTAACATTCAGGTAAAGACTACAACTGACACTTTGAGAGGATTGGTGAAAAAAGGATGAAAAAGCAAACCAAAAGCATTAAATTTGCATTGCATTGTCCAAAACCCCATCTGCACACATATTCCTTAAGCCACCGCAATTAAAAGACAGCATTACAGAGCACTATCGAAAACCTCGTTAAGATTAATGTACTGTAAATGTGCAGTGTTCAGAGATACCTTGCAGCACTACCAACAATTTCTGAACATTTGGTTGTATTAAGAGATTTACTAGTTTCTCACTTTAATTTCCAAAATCAAAGTAAACACACATTTTAGGCCCAATGCATGAATAATTCATTCTCATGTGGTATTGCTGTAATTGTAGTGACTGGTAAAGAGCAAACTGTTAAGTAGTTTATTAATAAGATCACTTGAGCACAATTGATATAATTGGGAAAAGGTTAATGCCTTCAAATTACATTAGTTGTTACACTTAATAACAGGATAACAAAAAGACAAATTTTGAAACACTTGAAACACAAGTGTTTCCCAACCATCCAAATCTCATGCTCAGAAATTTGATGTAGATTTCTTGATACTAGTGTAACTGGAATTGTACTTTTTTTAATAGCATTCTGAAAGGGGGAACCTTGTGCTCATATCAAACTAGGACAACTGGAGACACTCACTCCCAAGCAATTGTTAATATTTGAAATAAAACATAAGAACTCAATGATAACAAACCATTCTCAACGGCGCTTTACTTGTTCCCACCTATCATCGTCTCCACCCTCTCCACCAGACCTCTGCTCAGGCATTCGACCTACCAATAAAAATTCAGATTTAACTTCAGCAACATCACGACTTTAAAATAATTTTACAACTGCGAATTTTACCAGCCATGGATAATCCGCTAACAGCAGCTTGGTGAGCTTTACAAGAACAAAGTTTTAGTATCCAGTGCACACATTACATTCACCAGCAAGACCAACTAATATTTAACATCAACAATACCACAACTTTAAAGTAAATTTACAACTATGAATCTCACCAGTCATGGAAAATCTTTTCAGAAACTAATTGGGCGTTACAATAACAAAGCTTTTGCATCCAATACACGCTTTACTTAAAATTAGCATGAAGATAAACTTATTTCCAATTTGGAATATTGTGGAATTTGAGAAGCACCTCACACTTAAGTCAGTAAATTATGCATCTGCCTTTGGATTCTTACCACCCTCACGGTTTTCCCTTGGAGGATCACCCCGACCTCTGTCATCCATTCTTCGGCGTTCATCTGGTGCTCTTCGCATTGGTGGTAAATCACGATCACTGCCACGATCAGGTTCCTTGGAGCGCCAATTTGATCCTCCACTACTGCCCATTCCACGATCATCTCTTCCCGAACGACTAATGGGATCATCCCTTCCACCACGTGTGATTGGCTCATCTCGACCCCCACGTTCATCCATGCCTCGTCGGGGTAGTTCATCCCTACCACCTCGAGTAATAGGTTCATCTCTACGGGGAGGACGTCTGTCATCCATTCTAAAAATAAAAATACATTTTTATTCACAAAATACAGAAAAATATAACAACAAAATTAATTAAAATGTAAATCATAAAAGAAATGTCCTCTATTTCTTTACACATTATAAAAGGTTTCCTTATTACTAGACCTCAGAATTTTACGTACAAAGAAGTGATGATTTAGGCATCTAAAATATGTAACAAACTTATGAAATTAGGCACAATTAGTCATGAAAAGCAATAGCACTTAGTTAGGTACTTATAATACATTGCAAAATGACTTAGTGGCTTTTAAAAATCTTTAGACACGAAAAGTTGAAATCATTAGACACGAAAAAAACTAAAACACAAAAATATTAATTTAGGCATTTAGAATTCAGGAAAGTACTCTCATAAATGAAAAAAATACTGTAACAGCAAGCATCTTATTTTATTCCTTTTCATAATTAAACAGCACGTATATAATCAAGATACATTTCGTAAAAATTCGGGAAAGTAATTTTGTGTTTTGATATAACAAATTTTTAAAATAAGTAATGAAAATATATTCTTCAAAATTACTTGTTTTAGACACTTTTAGGCAAAAATAAATAAAATAAACATCAACCACCCTTTAGGACATTTTGGATACTATCAGACGCTTTCATTAGATCTATTTTTTCATTATTTGTAAACATCTGCAATTATTTGCCAGAATCTGCTAAAGGAACTAAATAGACATTTGTTCTAAAATCTGAGGTCTTGTTTTCCAGAAAACAGAAACACATTCTCAATTTTTATCAAAACTAGTTGATTACCAGGTGTGCCTGGATTCTCATTCTCTCTAAGTAACATCATTCTATTAGAAGTTGGGTAGTAAGCAAATACTCAGTTTAATAATTGGGTCATATGAATAAAAATGAGCATTTGCGCAGGAGTAAAGTGACTCTACTACGCGGCACTGAGCAAAAGCTCGATTTTGTATGAATGAATTGTTTGTATGTATGAATAAAAACTTTGAATGTCTCCGAAGAACTTTCTCATGTCTAGCTTGTGTCATTTGCTCCTTGTGAACAAGTGATAGTGCAGGCTAAGAGTTTTAAAAACTGGTTTCATGAGTAACAAAGAGGTTACATACATTACGCGAGTCACGCACATTTGTGTGGAATGAAGCGCAATGTTTTGTTGTCTCGTTCTTTAATTTCAAATATGAGTAGCAGTAATGAAAAACAGGCACCAGAGGCTAGTTTTTGCCGAAATGCTAAGCGAATATAACATTAATATTGAAAAGAGGCAGCTTACAGAGGTATGCCAGGGCCGATGCAAAACATTACGAAGTTTGAAAAAAGAGTTCCCCACGAAAAATTCCAAGTAGAAAAGAGAAATGGCCAATTGACATAGAAGATATGCAATATGAAAACATGCCTGAAAGCAAACGCTGATAAAAATCTTACCAACCATACATTGTCCTTATCGAATCAGCAAATATTCTAATAGTCAACATCACAAGAATTTCACCTTATCTTTAATTTTTTTAGTCCACTGCATCTGCATATCAACACACAGTAAATAAAATGAAAAAAAAAAAGAAAGAAAGAAAGAAAAAAAAAACAGCCAATTTATCCTTACTTTTCAAGTAAGTCTCTGCTACTAAGTTCCCTCCGAAATTTTGGAAGCAAGTGCTCACTCTAGAGAGTAAACGCTCAACTTTATTCATACCAATTCTGAGTATTTGCTTGCCAGTTGAGAGTACGCTTAAAGATAGAACAAGTGATCAGCGAATTGCTCACCCACTTTATTTATACGAAACTGAGAAGGATCTCCTAAACTCTGATCAAAAAGTAATTGCTTACTTTTATTCGTACCACCTATTATATGTAATCAATAAAAAATTATTTTCACAAATTCACCTGTAATTTACATTTTTTATTGCATGTTTCATTGAATTCTTCTACAAGTCTACTAATTCAGTACATATTATTATTTTAGTTATTCTGTCTTTTAGTTAATTGTCATGATCAAATTGTGTTTTGAGAATTCTCCCTTATTCAATCTGGTTTGTTTGTGCTAACTGCTCAAATATTTGAATTTGTGTTCAAAAAATTCAAATTTAAACAAGCAGAGTATCAAAGTGCTTGCTAATAATGAAACAGCAAAATAGTAGTGGCATAAAGAAAACATGCTTAAGATAATTGAAAATTCATCGATCCAACTTCTTTCACTTAATATCTACAACAAATACTTTATATGAAAGAAAAAAGGCACAATCAAATCCTCACCTATTCATTCCCCTATCATCTCCAGGCTCTCCATCCGTAGGTTTTCTGCGCCAACTGCCACCACCCTAAATACAAGTTTAGAATGAAGATTTGAAATGATGAGAAATAAAACTTGCAGCACACAATTCAAACTGTATTGCATAAAGGCAGCATGACATGTAATTTATGGTACAAGAGTGTAAAATAAGATTTTATTAATAAGTGAGAAATTTTGGTGACAATAGGAAACATCACTAATTCTACAAATAAAATATTTTTATGCTCTGTGTCCTACATTTTTACTACTTGGGGTTAGCATGATACTCCAATTACATTATGCACAATACTATGCTAAATGGTCATTCACATTTTTCTTAAAAATGTGAACTTTAAATAACCAAAGCCACAATAAAAAAAATTTGAGTAGTTCCTTTGGCATTAAACACAAGTATCGAAAATAATCTTTCTAATTTATATAAATAACGAAGTCATATTTAATATAATGTCATATTTAAAATAAATTAAGTAAAACACACAAACTAAACTAAATAAAAAACAAATTAAGGCATTAAGAATTGAAACAAGAATACAGTTAAACTCCATTTATACATATTGCACTTTGTGTGTGTGTGTGTGTGTGTGTGTTTTGTTTTTGATTTTTTGAAATCCAGGATCAATTATTTAATTTATACGTTTTTCATGCCTTTACATTCATAATCAGAGTAAGGGCATCACTTTAAGACTATATGTCCAAATGATAACAACATAAGTGGCCAACGAGTGAGAACATTTACGTTTTCATAGAGGAGCCCAAAAAATTATTCTGTATAATTCATTATTCAGATTCTGTCGCTACACAGAGTGTTTCGACTCCATTTTGGAATTTTGGACAATATTACTGGATAGAAGCACTAGTATCTTCCGATGTGGCTTTGCATTACATTCACAAATATCGCACAATAAAAATTCAGTACATTTAGGCCCATGTCACATGAGCGATGAATTGCGATGCTTTGCCTGAATGCTGATGGCATCAGATACATTGATGCCTTTGCACACAAGTCACTTCACATTTATCGTAAATAAACACTGTCTTACATGAAACGGCAACAGCTCTTAGCAGCTCTTGTCCCAGAGCTAAAGCTACAATGCAAATCAATACAATGCATGTTTTCTAGCTTTCAACATGCAACACCTGCTATGCAATGCACACTGGGAACCACGTACGTTGATAAAATTGTGCATGCGCCATTTTGCATAGGAGAGTGTTAATCTTAGTCACGTTTTAAGTGACTTGTGTGCTCAATGACCCCCAGCTCAATGATTCGGTTTAAGTCCAGATTCTCTGAGCCATTAAGCAAATGTTGAGAAGGATCCTTGTTTAGTTTCTGGGCGTGCTTCACTTAATTTACTTCAGCTTCTTATGTAGCTTCACTATGTGCATGTTTTGTCGAGCTCACCTTTTGCTAATAGTGATAGGAGTAGAGTCCAAGGCGTACCATTTTGTTGGCAATACAAAAAAACCTGCAGTTTGCATATCGCGCCAATAAGTTTTTGGAACTTCAGGAGTGAAAATGTCTACTTTTCAAAAGTTGCTAACTTCACTTAAAAAAAAAGAAAGCTTTTATTTCATCATTTAACTAGTTATAGTTACATGATGTGAAGTGACTCAAACTTGTAAACATGGGCAGATTGCTCTTTTCCCCCATACTTCACACACAGTTTTTACTGTTCTTTAACTAAAATTAAAAATAACTTTGGTGGCAGATCGTGCAAGCAGATCCAAGAGTGAAGCATGCCGATGTAAAAGTATTGAGGTTTTGTTAAGCTCAAAATATTTAATTTCAGTAATGTTTTTTTTCTCACTTCATCATTTTCCCCCATGTCCCCTGAAAAATGTATAAATGAAGTTTTCCTGTACATTGCTCACATTTTATTTAGCAATGTTCTGAAATATAGAATTCGGGTATACTAGCGATCTGCTGGTTACGAGCGGAGTGCAGTATTCACTTGTTCATTTTTACCCCCCCCCCACTAGCAAAATACATTGGATACCAACCATGCAATTCACTCACTGTTTTGCCACGTTATTGTGCATTTTATATTTTATTTTCTGACTACTTTTCAGTTCGTGCATATTTGAGTTTTGAGAGTGGCAAGGTTCAATTTAATGCAGCTATCAAACTGTCACGATGGAAGAGACTGCTGTTTGCTGGATGGATTTGCTTTTCTGTACAACTAGCTTCACAGCTCAAACTGTCAATTATACCTTTGGAAAATATTGATTCCAGAATACCAACACGGGAGTCATGGAGGGAGATGGTTTATAGTGATTGTTATGCAGAAAACTTTTTTTATTGCACGCCTTACTGTGCAACATTTTAGTAATGGTGCAAGATACATATTTATTACACCGTGATTTTCCTCCCGTTTTCAGCTAAATAATGCTGTTCACATGGCAGTGAACCACTTCCTTCGTTTTGCAAAACCTGTAACTGGGGTTCACACAAATATTGTTGAACCTGTTGGCAACCCTTAGTGGAGAGGGTGTCTTAGAACATGTGAACATCACATAGATAATGACCACCAACCAATAGATCGCTACAATCTCCTTAAGTTCATTAGTAATCAATCCTGAAGCACTGAAAATTCAAAACACAACCTACATCTCCAGACAATATACTGCTTGAAATATTGTTATATTGCTAACATTCTGCAGCATTGCCACAATTTAAAGTTTCGCAAATTCCTTTAAACTACAATTACTACCACATTCGTTAAACTACAATTATACACACACAGCTTAATACCCATGCAAATGACTGTATTTATCCAAATATAAGATGACTAAATTTAAAATCACCTAATTTTGAGGCGGTCTCCAGTGATTTTTTTGGTTGTTTTTTTTATTTGCAAGTAATTCTTATTATTCCGTCAAAATAAAATCACATTTTCATGCGAACCATTGTCATATTGACCCGAAAATTACCTTGATGATGAGATTAATTAATTTTTCCTTGACTTTCGGTATTTTCTCATTCCTAATAAAAATAATAATTGTTTCTGTCTCTACCATCTTCACCTATAAACATTTTATTCTTTTTTGATGGTCTTTCCCTGTTCTAGGTTGTTCTCTGACTTTTTAGACTTCCTGAAAGTTTTAAGCACTTAATTTGCATTCTTTCATTTTCTTCCTATCACACTCTTGTTCATGGTCTCAGTTTCATTAATAGCTATAAATTTGAAACTCACATTGTTTAAAATATTAGAGTTGTGAATGGCAAACTTTTACTTCTCTGTGCCTCTGTACAGATAGCATGGGAAAGAACGAACAGCAAAGTTTTTAAGACATTTTATTATATTATTTCCTCCTCCTCCTCTTTTTTTTTTCTTTTTTCTTTTTTTTTATAACCCGAATGAAGGTCTTCCCCTTTCTCATTTCATTTGCATTCGTCGAGCGTCCAACAGAGTGCATGTCCTTGCTGATCGTTTAACAACCTCTCAGCAAGATTTCCATTAATTTTGATGAATTGTGTTTTACAAATTAAATTCCATTTTTGGAAATTCTCCCATTGCCCATCAAAAAATAATTGCACAACAAATATGCAGTAATGTCAAGAATATGTCCATGAATATTATGAATTATAGATACTTGTTATTACCTTTACAGCATATTTTTACGTATTGAGTTACTTCATATGGACAAGCATAGTTAAAACAGAATTCCTTCCAACTATATTTAACCTGCAATTGACAACTTCCTATTTATCAAATGAAATAATTTTGATATACCTTGTCTTATATTTGAATAAATACAGTGTGTACACTTCATACGCTTTGTTCAAAGAATTAAAAAGTTTGATTTCTTAGACAAGGAAAAGTGCTTTTGTAAATTGCAATGAAGCTTTTTATGAAATACAATGAAGCATTTTTATCAACCAAAGATTAAATCTAATAGAGTAGAAACAAAAATGCTACAACATTATTATGAACTGAGCAATCTTAATATACTTACAGCTCCTCCACGATCCATGCCTGATCTTTCGAATCTGCCTCTTTCAAAACTGCTGCCACCTCCAGCACCACTACCGCCATGATCAAACCCTCCACGGCCTCTGTCAAAGCCACCACGATCACGATCAAATCCACCGCGGTCTCTGTCCCTTTCCATATCTCTATCAAACCCACGCTCACGTTCTCTATCAGGTTCACGATCCCTCTCACGGTCGGTATCTCCACCGCGTCTCCATGGGTCTGGTTTTCCTTCTGGCTCACGACCTCTTCCTAAAATTCAAGAATTCGTTCTGAAGAAGCTATTCTACAGATCAATTACAGGGAATGACTATCATCTTTAAATAATGTACTTTACAATTTGCCAAGACACAAAGAAATCTCAACAATATATGCCAGTTTAAAAATCACAATCAATGTTATAATTTATAAAAACAATTTTCCATTTGCAATATTCATGAATATGGTAAACAGCGTTAATTTTATACATGCAAAAGCAGGAATAACTTTACCATTGTGAACATAAGGAAAGGGGCCGATACAAATTGTTATAAGTGGCAGAAAATTTCAGAAATGTAAAAGCTCTCCAATCCAAATGCACTTTCATTACAATAAGATTGAAAATTACCTCCACGACGCCAATCTGATGGCTCCCGTCTACTGAAATCATCTCTGCCAACCTCTCTTTCGCCTTCACGATCACGATCTCGAACCTGAGCAGGAGGGGGCCCACCAGCTGGACGTCTCCAACTACTAGGACCACCCAAGCCCATTTGTCTATCTTGTTCTCTCAGTTTCTCCTCAGCAGCTAATTCTCGCTGTCTTTGTCTTTCTGCCTGCTGATCCAATAATTCCTTCTTCTTCCTGCAACATAAAGGGAATTCCTAAAACTCAAGAACTTTATAATCATTTATCCTTTCCGCACCGATTCCCTTTTTGAGTGTCTGATGCAGTGAGACTTAGAGCTCTCCATTTAAAGGGCACAGAGGAGGAACAGCAGCAAGATATAAGGTAAAATAAGTTTAAACACAAAATATTTCCTTCATAGTAGTAGTGGCTCTAGTATTGTAATTTGGCAACTTAACAATGGGTTAGCACGAAAAGTTGCAAAAAGATGCTACCAGAAAGCTTGCAACAATGACCGCACACACGGACGTGACAATGGGCAACACGCAAAATTAATTTGGTTGTTAACTATTTAAACACAAAATATTAGCTTCATAACCAAATTTAAATATATCACTACTAGCAGTAATACAATCTAATTCTTTTATTTTACTCCTTGTTACCAATGAATTTTTTGGAATTCATACAGGGGACAAATAGTTAAACCGTTATTGACTATGCTTAATCTGTGAACATAACATAATCCTACATTTTTCAACTTCGATATTTAGAAGAAGAAAAAACAAAATAACTCAGTCTCATATTCGGGTAAATATGGTATACTTTTTGCAATACTTCTGGTATCATCAACAAGAAGTGAAAAGATTAAAAAGGATTATGTGCACATAGAGGTACAATATCCAAGAGCAACATATTTTAAAGAAAAATGAAGTTGAAAGAAGAGCCAATGATAGACTTACCGATATTCCTCGAGTTCCTCTTTCTGTTTTCTTTTCCTTTCTGCTTCTTCCTCTTCCTCTTTGCGACGTGCTTCTTCCTCGAGTCTCCTTTGTTCCTCTTCTGCTTTCCTTTTTTCTTCTTCAGCTCGTTCCTTCATCCATTTCTGACGGCGTTCTTCCTTACGATTGTTTTTACGTTCAGCAAGCCTCTTTTTACGTTCTTCATCTAATTTCTTTTCAAACTCTTTAAGTTTCTCCTAAAAGAACATCATAAAAATTAAAACTTATATTTCTAAAATAAATGTCTTTCATATATGAAGCATGGTACAAGGTCAAGAAAATATCATGTACCAAGTCCAGGATTTGCACTGGAATGATTAATTTCTAAGGCTATTTGTTCTTACTTCAAACATTATGGACATGTGCATTTAAAAAAATATTATTCTTCGATTTTTCTATACTACTGATTACATTAAATCATTATTACACCTCCTCCCATATAAAATGAAACTTTTTAACAGTAGTAAGCACACAAGGAATGTTCGCTATTGAAAAGGCAAAGTATAACTAGAGAGATTTGCTACACGAGAATTTCTTACAGGTCAAGTGGAAAAAGAGAATACTTTTGTTGCCATTGTAAACATTAAATAATCCATGAGATACATTATTCAAATGGTAACTCAAAGGCTTTTTAGGCATGGAATATTCCAATAGTGGAATGTTTCTCACTTATAACAGAAATCCAAAGCAAAATTTTGGATGGTAAAGAAACTACTCTGTTGGAAGGTAGATTCAGAAACACCTTCCTTCACAAGCACTCCTTTTTTTCAGCAAGTTACAAACACATGTTATCTCACTATAGTTGAATGTACTTATAAACGTCACAAATGTCAGTAGGCATCGGTAATATGGAACCGTGTCAAAGAATTCTAGCTCTGAGACATCAAAAACTGTATAGAACAGACAGCACCTTGATGATGCCACCCATTCTCTGATCAAGTGGAAGAGCATCTTAAGAGAGATTTCTAGACAAGGTCTTCATCACCAATGAGACAACAACCTGAACCATTAAAAGATCTATTGAAATAAATTCAGGCACAATTTGCACAAATGAAAAATGGGAGATAAAAACTATAAATTATTATTGCCCTTGCAATCTGGTCCACCGCCTAGGTGAATGTCTCAACCCAATTTTGAGAGCTTAACCATAATGATTTCTGAATACAATTAATATTTTTGAAAGAAAGAAAAATATTTTTTAGCATTGATTTGAATTGTTTATTACTTTATTATCTGTATAGTTTTGAAAAAGCCAATTTGAAACTTGATTTTCACAGATAAAATAAAGTTTCTCTCGTTTTTGGAACAAATGATTTGAATATTTAGTTCAAATTGAAGTTTCAGCAAAAAGAATTACGAGTTGAATACTATTTAAAATACAATGGCAAAAGGCTAAAATGTTACACGGCTGGCAACAAGACCTAACTGAAGTGGTGAACTAACAGAAGATTGGAGCCCACAAACCCTCCAAGTCAATTGATCAGGTCCTACGTCACGGCAAGAAAGCTGTCTGACCTGTAAGACAACACTTCTCATAGGCACAAATTGAGGAAGCATTTCATGTCAACTCAGGCATGGCTCACAAGTGCAAAGGGCTACATCCATATTTCGATTATTTCCGGGTGGTAACTCTTTTCTTAAACTAATTTTAGAGACTTGCTGGCTTTTCAGTAACGATTCCCTCTTATGAAAGTTTTAGAATCTCACACTTCAAAGAAAACACAAAATAAAAGCACAAATTGGCCAAGACTAAATAAATAATATTTCTTTAGCAAAAAAAAAAACACACACACACACACCTATTTGCCAAAAAGTAAAAAGATGTAATTCAAGAAATATCTAATTTTACAACCATCTCAAAATCCTCCACTTCTTAGTAAAAATTCCTGATCTTTTCAGAAAATAGTGCCCCTCTATTCGAATTACAAATAAAACCTGCATGTAGGGAAAGTTAGACCCACATAACATACTTCTAAGTTAAGAACACACAATCTTGACCTGTCAAGGAAAAATTTGAAATGAATTTTTGATAAAACAATCAGCCTTACCAGATAAACTGTCCTACGCTCCGACTTCAATTTCTCTAAGAAAGCTTCCTTATCCCCTTGCATACGCTTTAGTCTTTCTCTGTGTTGTACAGCTAATTCACGTTCTTCGGTTAGCTGCTCTATGCGCTCCTTTTCCTGCTGTTCCCAGAATTTACGATCTTGGATCTGTTTTTCTTCAAAAGCCTTCTGCAGGAGAGGTATTTCTTCAATTCGTTTAGCTCGTTCAAAATAATCAACCTTCTTTTCCTGAGATTTGAGCTTCTGAACAAACTCTCTGCGTTCCTTCTGTAATTCTTCCATTTCTTTGGCAGCTATCTGTTCAGCATCTAGTTTCTTTATATCCTACAGAACAAAAATTGAACAAAGCATTGAGTTTTCATTTATTAAACCTTTCAAATATAATTGAATACTTCTACCCTAGGTTGTTTTGTTGCTAATATTCCTAATATTCCAGATAACATAAAAAAGGAACTCACTTCCTCATCCAATTTCCGAAGAATCTTTTGACCATGAGATGTTTGAGAGATTTGGAGCATTTTCTCTTTAAGATGACGATCCTTAATTTGTTGAATTTCATTTTCTTGACGTTTACGCTCTCTTTCTTCACGCTCTTGGTCCATTCGCCTTTGCTCAGCCTCGAGCTGTTGCCTAGCAAGCTCTTGTTGGCGTCTTGCTTGCTCTTCTTCCTAAAAGAAAGATTAGAGTTACAAATAATTCAATTCATAATCAGACATAATTTATATTGGAAACTTAAGTTACCCGAGCAGTATTCCTTCTTTCCAAAAATTCTTTACGATCTTCTATGATTTTGTGGCGTGCCAAAACACGCTCGTGCTCTGCATACTTAGTTTCATCATAATGCTGAACCATTTGAATACGAAGGTTTTCTCGCTCCATCTATTTGGGGAAAGAAGAACGGGAGAAAAGATTTTGGTTATCTTTATCATTACTACTATAACATATTCCACAAGTGAAGTAATACCATACCTTCTTTTTGTGAGGATTAATAACATTCAATCCTCTATGAAGAACAGTAGCCATATTCACTAACTGGTTCCGCACTTGTTCACTCGGCATACTTTGCAGTGTAGGTCCTTCTGGAATATCTTCACGCTGTGATTCTGACAAATCCATACCAAAATGGACACAACGTTTGCCATGATCAATGCGAATCTGAGAAAAAGAAAATAAAAGTTTAAAAATTGTAAAGGAAAAATTCCATCAAATAAATAATTAACATAACAGAAATTACCTGCATATCATTATGTCGAACACAATCAACAAGCAAACGCTCTAAATGAAATGGACTAGTAAACTTTGCCAATTCCAACAATCTCTGGAATTCAATTGTCTGGTAAACTTGAGACACTTGTCGTATAAGACGCACTAGAGTTACATCCTGAAGAGCACCAACATACTGATGGAGAGGAGAACTTTCTTCTTGTTTTAGATCTTCAATTACTGAATGTACTCTTGAACACAATAGAAGAGGATGAAATTCCACCTCAAGCCACATATACAGATCTTGAAGTTTAGGTGTTGCAAGACCCACCACATTCAAACGAACCTACAAATCAATTAACATGTTAAACAGAAATAACAGAAACTGCCATTTCTCAATAAATACAATATATTTGTATAAATTTACCAAGTCTTTAAGTAATAATGCTCTTGTTGGAGGATGTGGCAAACCAAGTAAAATTGCTAAACGTTGTGCTTTTTCCAAAGGACTCTTATCTGTTTCAATGAAACGATCAAATTCAGGATGTGCTGATGGAAGTGGAATAGACAATGTAGCAAGAAGAACTCTACACGCCATTCTGCAAAGTTAAAAAATAAGGTAGTTAACGTCACCCAAGTGTGAACAAATAATATACCTAGAATTATAAGAAACAATTATTAACTATACCGTTGCAAATCTTCAGGAGTAATGTTCTTCTTCATATCTTTAGATAACTGAAATAATTTAAAATGAGCAGCTGCATGAAACAAGTAATTCCCTGCCTTCCAAAACACCATAGCCAATTTCTGGTAATAATTTGCCATTGTTTTGGGAACTGGAGACTTTTTTGACAGGTTCATCAGTCCATGAATATCTTCTATAGCTTTGTATGCTTCCTAGAATATTACACCCAGAACAATTAGCTGCATATCACAGGTATGATCAATGAACAAAATAATTATTAATATATTGAAATGTTTCAAATAAACTTAAGATTACTTAAATTACTCAATTACAGAAGCTGAATTTAAGAATATCAATATTTTTCAGTTTTACCTGCCACAATTCCATTTGAATCGCAGAATCCAGTTGCACTAATCTGGTCTCCAAGTTCAGTTGTTGGGTTTCAGGTTTGTGAATGCTGACATTCGTTTGTAAAGCTGGTAACTTTATAATATCCTCTAAATGTTTACGTAACTTGTCACAAAGTTTGCGAAATTCGGTCTTTCTATTGTACTTCAGGCAGAATGCAAAAGCCTAAAAATTCACAGATGCAAATACTTACTTAATTACTTCCTTTGCAAAAAGAATAAAATGATTAAACAAGGAAAATAAAATTTTCATACCATTCGAGCAATATCATGGTACAAAGTTTCCACATAAGAATTTGTACGTAGTAGTTCCAGACATTGGCAATACGATTCCCACAAAAATTTAACCCATGGTGTCAAAATAGTTCGATCACTACGATCTTGAGCACCTTCTCCACTCACGGCACTGTCGATACAAACAATTCATGTTACTCATTGCATTTTCAATTATAATACTTCAATAATGACATGCACTAATTTCAGACCTTAAAAGAATGCTTTCTGGAGTTTGAAGCATATCCAAGTCATCAATATCTACAACAGCTTGTTGCGACTGTTCCCGAGCAGCTTCTGTTCTATCTTCAGCCATTTTCAAATAGAAACGTATGACCTTTTCTAATGACCCGACATTCACCTGAAATCATAATTTTTCACACCATATTACAAAAATACATCAAGTAACATTAATGTCAGTCATATCAAAATTGATTTCCAAAAGAATAGGATATTTTTGCTTTTCAGATGGACAATATCAATTAATATATTTAACCTATTCTTAACAAGTTCAAAATTTGCTTACCGATTGAAACATATTTCTGTATTGAAAAAGACCTTCTTTGGCAATATGGGACTTTTTGAGCTCCACACAGAGGTCCAAATATTTGAACATGATTGGCTGCAAAACACTTTCCGTCCAGGTGCAGGCCCATTTTTTATTGCGAAAAACTTCATAAAGTGCATCAAGAGCACGGGCAGGTTTTCCCACCTCAATAAATTCTGAAAAAAAACAACAAACACATCGCGAATTATTTTCCAAGTAACAACTCTGCTGAAACGAACATAGAACTGATAAGGCAAGAAGAAAACATAACCAAAGTTTCATTAGTTGTGTCAAGAACAAATATGACAATTACAAAATTACTTAACTCTGATAAAAGCACGTCTTCAGACAAACGAAATTACAAGGAATAAAAAAGGCAAGACTGTAAAGAGGTAAGTTTTTCGTAAAGCGCAGCGTGGTCAATGGTAACAGATGCTAAGTACCATTTCCTTGGAATGTAACTCACCATTCGCTCGCTTTAGAGCATTTTCTGGACGTTGACCGTAGCGAGCCATTGTTATTGTTTTCAACGTCTAATTTACATCAGAAATAGGACTAAACGTCAATTACAATCCACCCAAACGTATCTCAATCCAATCTGCAATACTGCTAAGACGTCCAAAGACGAGACAACATGGAGCCGTGAACGTGAAAGGTGGAGAGGGAGGGAGGAGCATTCAGCAGGAACTGGTAGTCTGACGTCACAGAACTACTTCACGATGAACATTTACTTCGGCCTGATTCGGAAGAGGATATTTAAACACAATAAATTGTTTAAGCTAAAATTATAATTTTCGAAAACATATAACTCACTCGCTGTTTGAGTTATTCATTATTAGGGGCGTTTACAACAGGCAGTTCTGAACCTTCGTTCTGTGGTACATTTCCGCCTATCTGTCTCAGTAATTCGGAACATCGCCACCAATGGCCACAAAGCGCTACCACGGCATTGGAAGTTGTTTATTATATGATGCCATTGTTTATACTGGCACATCGACAGTAACTCGCATCTTCCTTTAATCGAAAATTAGCTCACTTACTGAAATTGATATTCACGCTAAATCATTTGAAATCGACATAGTTGCTCATAAAGAAAAATCTCCAATAATCTAGTAAGAGTGGGACAATTTTTTTTTAAAGATTCAGAATTTTTTTTGAAAACCGGACCTGCCCAATTTCTTGGGCGTATTTTGCTCTATTAAAAAAGAGAAATAAACATGGTGGAAATAATCGGAATCCATGGAAGTAACCAAAAGTCATTTTTGAGAAAAAATTGAAAAAGTTATCGGATCGTAAGTTTATGTAAATAACCAATAAAAATTAAAATAGTTTCAAATACACGGGACCGCGACACCAGCCAGATCCACTGTCGAATATCCATTTTCGTGAAAACTCTATAAACGGTTTACACTTCGTGAGTTGTTCACAGAGGGACAGACAGGCTCGAAAAAAAACTATTTTTGCTTGTCTTATAATCGTTTCGTGACTTGAGATTTTCTCAAAAACAGCTCCAAAAGTTTTTGTTTGGATGGATAGAGTCCAATCTATCAAATCACAAGCATGGGCGACCAGAAGGGGAGGGCAGCTGGAACAACTTTCCCCAGGACCCGACTTAATTCAGACCTCGAATTGTTTTCATCCAAAACAAATGAAAAAGTGTATTCATTTCTAATCCAAATTATCGCTATATGTTATTTCTGAGGCATAGAGAAATGAATTATTCGTATGAATTGGGGAAGGAGGGAATGTATTGAAATGAGGGACTTCCATGGAACAGCTGCCCAGGCCCCCTGATTATCCCTCCCACAGAATGGCCACTCTTACTACAACGTTTATTACCCTGACTATCGAGACAAAGAGGAGAGATGAGAGAGAGAGCAGAGACGAGAAAAGAAAGAAA